CCCCATTTCTATCATCACCCTGCCACACATCTCTGCTCTGCTAAGCCGTTTCCACCCACCTGCCATGCTGGAATGCCAGAGGACTGAGTTCACGCAGCACAGGGTGATGCCACCTTCCAAAGGCAAAGGTACCATACCTTATTTCCACAGTCAAGGAAACTCTAACATGTTTAAAATCCTGACTTTTCAGAAGTTAGAGGTGAGTAAAATTTTAACTTTCCGCATACTGATGTTGAAATTTGGTCTGCACACAGCATGCTGGACAGTCTCTCACAGGGGCTCAGCAGGAAGGGTGAGCTGCAGCAGAGCAGGTGATGTGCAGGGCAGCACTACCACAAAGTGTAGCCAAAGACTTCCCTTTGGAAAGTTCAGGTGACTGAAATTTTCAGTTCATCATCACAGGAAATCTAGGTACTGCTGGATCACAGTCATTCACAACTGGGAATAGCTGTTCTTCTGGGGGGTTCAATCTAATTTGAAATTAAATTGTCAGGCTCAGGTGTGCAAATCTGAAATCTTTTGTTATCTGGGCTTTGGGATTTTGGATTCATTCTTAAACATAAAAACATAAAGAGAAATGGAAGGATGGGATAATTAACCTTTTTCTGATTGTGAGCTGTTTGGAGACATCCCCCCAGACCTTCAGATGTAGCTAGAAAATGAGATATCTCATTTTCAGTAATTCTTAAATAGTAAATTGGCAACTTTCTTTAATGGCCACATAAGATAAATGAATGCCATTGTTTCCTTGTCAGAAGATGAGCATAGTAAATGCACAGTATTGTGGAAATCATATGGTACCCATTTGGAATTTTTTTTAGAGAAATATTTGAATAATCAATCCAAGAAAATAGTATTTTACAAGAATTCATTACAGTAAAGATCATTTCCTTGAGGTAAATGCCTGCCTGTTAGGAGGAAAGCTGACTCATGGATATAGTGTGAAAACTTCAGAAGTAAGCTTGCTTCCAGGCATATTGCAAGCTTAGAGTGATGAAGTCCAACAGCCACAAAACAGATAATTAATTTCTCCTCAGGTGCACAAAATACCTGTCTAAAAAGAAAAAGTGTCCAGTTGTAGTTACATGAAACTATGTACATATCTTGAACATATGGAATGCATATACAGAACATTTGTAACACTAAGCAATACTGGATTCTTGTGTCTGTATGTCTATAGGCTGACTTGAGAGCAATCAGGTTCTGGAACCACAGTGCTGTTGTGTGACATCCTGATGATGCAAAGGCTGCCCTGGATTTAATTACACTCACGCAGAAAGGGACAGCCCAGCCCATCTTCCTGCAGATGCCACAGTGGGCAACTCCTCAGTTGCCCGTGTCTGTGGGATGCTGGTGACTTAGTCCAGAAGATGTTGAGAAGAAGTAGAATATAGTACTGAAATCCATAAGGGCTGCACAAATGACATCAGGACAAGAGGTGACACCTGGTTTCAGATGTGCAGCAGGACATAACCTGAGCTGATAGCTGGCAGTCACTGGCGTTGGTTGAACCAAGGATCTTAAACACCCTCTTCCTCCTTTCTGTGCTATTTTGGCTCTCTGAGGGGAGAACTCTACTATGCATGAGGCTACACGAGTCATTAACAGACTGCTGCATCTATCAGGAATGCAATGGTGCTTAGGATACTCTGCACACCTGCAAATTAGGAGACAAATGGCCCTTTCCAACCTAACCATGGCCTTGAACTGCAAGGTAAGCAAGTAAACCTGAGCTTCTGTCTGCTTTTCTGCAGAAAGGGAACAGGTTTATGAAAAAATCTGAGACCTAGAAAGAGATTCACCTGGTGTACATCAGATGATGTACAACATCATCTAATACAGCAAGCTCAGATACCACCTAAAAGCTGAAGACAGGTAGGACATCTTTTGCCTAAACCTCCCATTGCTTTGAACAAAGCCTGCAAAGAACATCCAAAAGCTAGCAAAGTCCTTGGGGTACAGGTCCGTTAACTTGACCCTGTAATGTTGTGAGGGGAAAGTAATAATGGGTTCTACCACATCTGCCTGCATTTTATGAGGAGAAGTATAAAATCAAATTATTTAAAATCTATTTTGAAAAATTGCAATTGTAAAGCTGACCCTCCCGTTGTTCATCCCCTGCCTATTCTCCAGCTTTTCTCCCAGTACCATGGAACAGCCACATACAGAGAGGGTGTTACTGGCAGCTATTAGAAACACACTTGCTGCGTGTCATACACCAGAGCATGAAACCAGAACAGCTACGGCACAGCACAAACTCTGTTAATAGGATTTATGTGAGACCATACTCGTACTAATGATTAATAGACAGAGATCACATTTTACTTCATTGCTAAGCTCTTAGCATGATGGTAGCAGCGTGACAAATTAAATGAGACAAAAAAATTGCATTCTCAATCTCACTCCTGCTAGGCTGAAGCACTTCAGGTGCTGAAGGAAAACAAAAAGTCGTAAGGTTTCTCCTAGTGCCATTGCTGCAGACTTTGTGTGGCCAGTAGCAGCCTCTCCTGCAGCACTGTGCAGGTGGCTCATGCCTAGGGTTGGTTGGATGTGGCAAGTTCTTCTGATTCTGAGGGCAGATTTCTGTTCCATGCTCTCCTGATATGATTCTAAATGCAAGCAACAGCTAACATTTTCAATTGAATATTCTTGTTATATTGCTGTATTGAAACTACCACTAGGTTTTCATGTCATCCAGCGTGCAGGAAAGTGCATTTAGCTCTGATAGCTCATTGTGCTTTATGGCCAGGGGCCCATTCACACAAGCAGCGTATCTTGGGGTTTGTCCTCAGCTCAGGTTTGGAGCAAAAGTGAACAGCCACATGGCAACTGGTGAAAATGAAATCCATCAGTTTACTTACTAAGCTTTAATAAATATATATATATATATATATTCATTATTTACACGTTTTTATTTTGAAGGATGTTTTTAAAATTCATCTTTCAAGCCTTAATATTTGACATGAAAATTATCCAGCCTGTCATCTGAGTGATTTAATAAACCCACCAGAAATGGCCTCAGGCATTTGGATGTGAGCACAGTGATCTTTGCAGTTTCTTGCTTTCATTAGCTCAGGAACAGGAAGGCAATGTGCTCCCGTGAATCTTTTACAGGGCTCTGCAAAAGTGACCGTGGTTTGGTATAAGGGCTAGAGAACCTCTTTACTTTATAGGCTCACTGCTCTCTAGTGGTAATAGTAGTAACAAAACAGAAGAATGAGCCCTGTGTTGTTCTCTTGCTTATAAATACTTTGGAGGCTGTGTTAGATAAGTCATGTCTGAAGATGTAGTTCATATGAGTACAGACAGAACCTAAACCAAAGCGATGCAAAGGGATGTAAGCACTCAGACAGGCCGAGTAAGAGACTTCCCAATGTTTAAGTTAAAGCAAAGCTCAGCAAAACACACCAAAAACCTCTCAGGGATTCTGTGGCAGTGGGTGCTCTCTGGAAGTCACTACAAAATGGAGGTGTGAGCTGAACACCTGAAGAGCCATCAGCTTCCAGAGCCACAGGGCTGATCAGCAACATCAGAGCCCTCTGTGCCCCAAGTCCATCCTGAGTCCGAGTGGGCCCTGTGGTGGGGCAGGAAGCCAAGGCCTGCTGAGGGCCCTGCAGCACACTCTGGTACTAATGGCATTCCGCTCTGGAGAGCTTGTGCTCCTGCAGCTTTGCTCCAGCTGTGCACAGCTTCTGTGCCACTCCATGAGGTGCTTGGAGCAAGGCGGCCATGCCTGCCACTCTACTACAGAATGGGAGAAACGTTCATTTTGGATGAATTTCCCCCCCCAAGGTCCAGTCCTGCAGTGCCTGAAGGGCATGCGCCATCTGTGTGACAGCATCCAACCCCGTGTCTCACTGGGATGGCTGTATTCTGCTTTGCTCACTGGCCCAAGCTGTATTCTGCTTTGCAGGAATCCCATCAGCAGCACTTCTCATTCCTGGCTGCCTCCCAATATGCGTCCAGGGAGGAGGGTCATACATTTGCCTGGAGTCAAGCGCTGATTATCGTGCCTTCAGTTCCCCATTTAACAGCAGCAAAAAGTGCGCTGCAAAAGCCAGAAGTGAAATATAGGAGGGGCACGTGGGTGTACGAGACAGGGGTGCAAGGCACGAGCATGATGGGGGGCCTGGAGAATCTGAGGTCCTCAGTTCAAGAAGGACTCTAGAGAGAGCCCAGCAGAGAGCTACAAAGATGATATGGGGCCTGGAACAGCACCTCCTGTGTGAGGAAAGGCTGTGACCTGGGGCTGCTCAGAGCAGGGAGGGCTGAGAGGGGATCACATAAATCCTGGTAAGTGTCCGAAGGGCGAGAATCAAATGGACAGAACAAGGGGGAACGGGCAGACACCACAAGACGGGAAGTTCCATACAAACACGAGGAAGATCTTCATTGCTGAGAGAGTAACAGAGCACTGGCACAGGCTGCACACAGAGGCTCTGGACTTTCTTTCTTCGGAGATACTCAAAGCCCACCTGGACGTTTTCCTGTCCGACTGCTGCAGGGAGCTGAGGGGTTTGGCTGGGTGATCCCCAGCTGTTCTTCCCAACTACTGTGATTCTGTGGTTCTGTGATGTATGTAAAACGGGTACATAAAGCAATCTGCAGAAACGGGCCAAGAGGACCGCTGCACCGTGCTCACTCTGTAAGAACCGGCCTGCCCAGGGAGGAGCACGGGGACACGGTAAGGTGTAGCGGGGAAGCCGGGGGGGGGAAGGGAGAGGAAAAGGGGAAGGGCTGGGAGAGGGAGACTTGAGGGAGGGGAGGGGACAGCGGAGGGAGGGAGGGAGGCCAGCTGAGGGAGTCGATAAAGGCGGGAGGAGTGGGGAAAGCACGCCGGGCGGCGATGGGGCGGAGAGAGTGAGCGAGTGGGAGACGAGGAGCGAAAGCGGCCCGTGCCGTGATCGTGGCCGTGTCCGTACTGAGCCCGGGGCCGTGCCTCGCCGCTGGGAGGGAGCGACGCGATGATGCCGGGGCGGCGGCTGTGAGCGGCGGCCGCGATGGGCTGCGGGGGCAGCCGGGCCGACGCCATCGAGCCTCGCTACTACGAGAGCTGGACGCGGGAGACCGAGTCCACCTGGCTGACCAACACCGACTCCGAGAGCCCGCCGGAGCCCGGCGGCGCCGACCCCGGTAGCAGAGAGCTGGGCGCGGGGAGAACCGGTGAGCGCGGCCGGGCGGGGGCTGCCCTGAGCCGGGCTTCTGAGTGCGGGGCGTGGGGCTGGATGTGTCCCAGCTGTGGGGCTGGATGTGTCCCAGCTGTGGGGCTGGATGTGTCCCCGCCGTGGGGCTGGCTGTACGCCCTGTGTGCCCCGTGTGCCCGGTTACACGGTGTGCATAGGGCTGTGTGTACCCTAGGTTCGCGGTGTATGTAGGGCTGGCTGTGTGCTTTACCCGCTGTCTCTTCCCTGCTCCCACCAAGGCATGAGGGCAGCGAAGTGTGGGCTTGAGGACGCTGCGGGTTTGCGGCGCTGCACACCGGAGCATCCTCTCTGGGGGTGCAGCAGGGACCGGACAGCCGTGCTCGGCTGTGTGCGGGAAGAGATTCTCCGTATCTGAGTAGGGCAGAGGGAAGGGAAGAGAACTCTGCCTTTTTGCTGTGAAATATTTGTTTTTTTTTTTTTTGTAAAACAGCTCATTTAGGAAATAGGTTTAAAATGACGCAGAGGTGGTGATGCACCAGCCTTCTTCCAGGTGCCGTAAGATCAGAGTGATAACCAAAATACAAAATTGATCAAGTGGTGTCCTGCGAATGTGCTGGCTGGCAAACCTGAGTTTCTGGGTTCTTGGAACGTTCTCAGTTGTACACCTGTGGCATTACAGCAGGGACGGAGGTGGAAAAGGGAATGAGGAGCTCTGGTCTGATGGGGGGTTCCTGATTTAAGAATCTTTCAGTGTGCAGCGGTGTCTGGAAATCTCAATCTAGATGCAGAAATCTGTTGTGTTGTACAAACACAACATGACAAGGATTGCTGCCCAGGTTGATTGTAATTTGTGTACAGAGTAGTAAATGCCTGTAGGCAGCTTCAGGGTGGGAGAGGGTAACTTTACAGACTTTTGTACTGAGCTGCAAGGCACCAGGAAGAGGTCATGTGCATGGCCAAAAGCTCCCGTGGGTGGGCAGCACAGGCAGATGGAGAGGGCAGAGGACCAAACAAAATGTGGAGGTGGGATGGGAAGGGTATGTGTGCTCCTGGAGACCAGAGGGAGACGTCACAGAAATCCCATGAGAAACTGAGAATTTGTAGGTGGGTTGGAATAGGAAATGCTGTATGGAAAATAAAAGTTAGATAAGGATTTTGAGGAGGTTTGAGGTGATACTGACTGGGAAACTTGGATGGAGGCAATGGTGCTAATCATGAAATTAATCGGTGAGGGCTAGATGTAGCAAGAGGTATCCCATGCTTCTTGTTATTTTAGCCATGTTTAATTTGTGTTGGTGGGTGAAGGTTATAAAGAGAAGGCAGATACAGCCTGAGATTTGATATTGAATAGGAGGTGAGAAAGGGGTAGGTCAATAATCATTCTACGCAGAAACAATTGAACTTACAGATGAGAATACTGGAGATAGAGGAGGACAAGAGACAACTCCGAAATGCAATAGTAAATGATTTGGAGATGAGAAATGCTCTACACAAAATCTCTTCTGCAAAAGAGAGTAAAGAATAAGGAAAGAACATACTGATAGGAACAAAGGAAGGATGGCTTCAGAAAGGAGAGTCACCCTGATCACAGCCGGCCTGCCTGCAGCCAGCACAGGAAGCCTGAGGATGCATGGTGACCCCAAAGGGTATCTGAAAAGTCCAGGAGTGCTTCAAAAGGGCTGCTGCAGGGCAGTGTGTGAGTAGGAAAGGAAAGGAGTGAGGAGAGTTGCTCCAGAAACTGCACACTGAGTGGATTTACAGATGAGAGGGAAAGGAAGCAGCAACTGGAGGGGCAAAAGAGGCCAAGTATGGTTTTGAGGCTTCAGGAGGAAAACATGGCATCATTGTGAGAGCTGGGAACTGCAGAACGAGGAGAGGCACAAGAGAGTAAGGGAGGAGAGAAGAGGACAACAGGGCATTGAGGAGAGGGATGCACTGCTGGCACAGCTGGACACAGGAAACCTCTGTAACTGGATGAGGGGCAAAATACTCAGTGGTGAAAGAAACATGGTATGCAGAATCAATGAGCGTAGTAATGAGGGCTGGGCTAAGAACTGCCATGTATTAATGTCAGTAATCTCATCCCACCCCAAAATGTCATTATATTCTTCTCCTCAAGAAACATATTTAGCATGCCTACTTTCATTGGAACTACATGTATTTATGCAGCCAGATGTCTGAATCTCTACTAAAGCATTAAGAGAGATTAAGTTTCATTACGTTAAAAAGGAAGTCATACTTCAGTTCTTTTTTAATCTTCCCTTCACTTTTCCTTTGTTCCTACTTCAGTTGATCCTATCTTAAGATGTTTACTCACTTCCCTACTTGGTTTTTTTTTTTTTATATCTTCACATTTTTCTTTTTTTTTTTTTTGGTTTGGTTTGGATTTTTTTGACAAAACATATGGGATGATAGCAATTGTTATAACATAGCTAAAGTAAGACAGAACTTTTCTTGGGTTCAGGACCATCACTAGCAGCCACAAAGACGTGAAGCAGCTTGCTGCAGCACGGTGCTGAGCCCCTGACAGGGATGAGCAGGGTGAGCTGGTAAGGGTGAGTTGCAGCATAAAAGTAATAAACAACTTCATCAAGCACAGCAGGGGGTGAAATTGAAAGACACCTTTTAAACCATCAAATTTTGTACTGTTCATAGGGTGAATGGCTTCCAGGAAGGAGAGAAAAAATGGAAACTCAAATGGGGCTGCAAAGGAGCGGCTTCTTCTACAGACACCCGTCGATGTGCCAGCTGACAACTCTTCATGAGATTTGACTGCTGTGTAGGGTATAGCTGGGGAAATAACAGGCTGCATTTCTGCCTTGGCACCCATTCCTTGGGCCCTGCAGCCCTCTACACAAACTGCCTTCTCTCACTTGGGCAGTCTGGGCAGCCAGGTAGAGGTGTCAGCACATGGAATGACTGCACAAGGAAGGGAGAACATGCAGGATCAGACTGGTCCCAAGGGCAGACAGCACAGGTCACAAGCAAACCACAGTGAAAGGTTAAACTAAAAAAAAAAAAAAAAAAGCACAAAAGCTGTGAGGTGTTTGAGCACACGTTTGTGTTTTCTGCTGTGTTACACTGGGAGAAGTCAGGTCAGAAGCCATAGGCTGGGAAGTTAAGACGCATTCTACCAACTTGCTACCAGTAGTGAAGAAGTGTTTTATAAAATAATGAAGTAGCAACAATAACAAACAAATTGCATATTCTTTCTCAAGCAGGCCTTACGCTGTCCCACCCTATTACCGTTTCCAGTGATTAGGATTCTGCATTCAATTATTTTTTCCCCATTATTGCTGGAAGTGCCTCAGATTGGATAAAGCAGCGTGTTGCCTCGTGGCAGAAAGAGCTCACAGCCGTGGATGAGCTCAAGTGCTGCCGTCTCCTTGGGATAGGCTCTGTCCTTGCTGTGTTCCTGTAGCGACAGCGCTGTGAGCCCCAGCCTCAGCTGGAGATTGTTGCTGGAACACAAATACAAGTAATTAATTTTTTAATGACGTAGCAACTAATGAAAACGAATGTCATGTATGAGAACTGAGAAGCTGTGTATCGACTGTCTCTGAACTCATTTGTTCAGTGCCTCAACTAATAAAGCACTCATGTATTTTTTATCACCGCCTTGCTCACGGCACCAGCCAAGGCTTTAAAAGCAAAGACAATTGTTTTTTATTGTCTTTGTGCTATTTCTATAGGAAAGTCTGTTCTTCAGAAGCACTTAAAGAAAAACATTCTCCACAGTTTATCCTTTCATGAAGACATTTACAAAGCAGCAATGAGATGGGAGAGGAATGGAGTCCTTTATTTAAAAAAAAAAAAAGAATACCGTAAAAAAAAATCAAAGAACCATAGAATCACAAGGTTGGAAAGGACCTACAAGATCATCTAGTCCAACCGTCCTCCTATCACCATTACTACCCACTAATCTACTAAACCATATCTTGTAGCAAAACCACATCTCATGGCAGAGAAATGCCATTAGTATCCTGTGATCTGGCTGCTGACCGACTCTAACACAGCCGTGCAGTTACGGATAACTCCAGTTCTTTTCTGTCAGGTGAAAGGTGCAGCTGGGAGCTCAGTGCCTGCTGCAGGGAGCTTGGCAGCGCGGGTCCATCTTTGCAGTTATCCCCTGGCCGGGGCACAGCGCACAGGACGCCATGCTCTACTGGCAACCTCTCCTAAAGAAGTTTTTGAAAATTGCATTTCCTTTGTAGTAGGAGAGACTGACTGCAGTTGTAGGGAAATTCTGGGGCTGGTTGAATGCCTGTCACCATGACAACACAGCCCGGATCAGTTTGACCACAGCTGCAATCATCGCCTGCTTCATCCACCAGGTAAACATGAAGTTAAATCTTAATGTAAATGAATAAGCGGCTGGTGGGTTATAGAGGAAGGACTTGCTTTGTGCAGCAGGTTGTTTCTTGTAATGCAGACTGCAGAGAAGTATTTCATAAAAGCAATCCTATTTGGCTTTAGAGCCAGAGAGCGATCACCTTTGCTAGTGGTAGCAGTGTGTTGGGGTATATCACTATCCCTTCGTGCTCCTATGCCTGTTATTGCTGCTTGCTTATGAGCTGGCTGGTTCAGAGTCTGATATGCCTAAGAACAATTACAGCAGCTGTTCTGGCATGTAGTATTTTAAGGAGATAATCTTATTGCAGCTCAGAATTGCACAGAATGAACAGAGATTCTTCCCAGACTGCAGACACGTTCCGGTAACTCCATGTTCTGCCTTATTCCCGATCTCAGATACAGTCATATGGTATTAGTTAATGTAACCCATTTACTTGTAATTTCTGGATATGGTCTCTTTCAAGTTCAGTTGTAACTGGACACTGGATGGAGGACAGTTAAAGAAACCCTTCAAAGTCACAAACACACACACACAAAAAACAACACAGAGAAGGGAGAATATAGCACATGGGGTATTTCTCAGAGAAGTAAAGTTTTTGCTTCTAATGTTTATCATCAAGCTTTCATAAGCAGGCTTCTTATGTGTCTGCTCGACTTTGTACGCCA